GAATAGGAATACCACCAAAGTTACATTTGTGTTGGTTAATGTTTGAGATAATTTGGAGGGGTGGAGACTGTTACGACCCGCCCCAGGAAAAGGGGAGGGAGGTGTATCAGTAATTCCCTTGGGGTGGATTAGAGTGAAACGACACTGAATAACTGGTGTCTGAAAACATATATTGGTAAGGTTTATTTTAACAATTTTGTATCAACAGGTATCAACAGGTATGCTAGCATTTTGGGTGTTGTCATATAACAGCGTGGCATAGAGATAACCTTTGGAGGGGGGAGAAAATGCATAGGGGAGAAAGACAGGATAAGAGTAAGGGAGAGTAAGGAAAAAGAAAAGATAACAGTGGAAAAAAAACTTATATAGTCACCGCCCGCAGGGTCCAGCGATGACACTTGGTAGTTGCAGCTTCCATGTCTGTCAGTTGAAGTGGTGGCCTTGATCTGCTGGAGGTGAAGGAGGGAAGCCCCCACACGCCAAGAAGTTATGAGTTATTATATCCATGGTTAGTGTCACGGGCCATGCCTCAAGCCTCCAAACTCTCCCTGGGCCCTGCGCAAGAGTTTCTGTGTCTGGCCTGTTTCTGCCTTTTTTTAGATTAGCAGAGGGGGGGATGGGCTTTTATGGGCCGTCAGAGGTCCTGCCTTTTCAGGGCTTGACACCTTCAATTGCCCATCAGAGGTATAATGCAACAGTCAAAAGCCTGCAAGAATCTCCTAGAATGCATAAATCATCAACCATTTCAGTCTCTGACAGAGACCTCTGACAGAAGTCTCTTCCCTCACATTCAAAACCCCTGGTTTCTCCAGGGGTACAGAGAGAACAAATATGCCTGGATGTAAGTGAAAAAATAATTCTTTACCAAGAAGAAATGCTAATATTAATACTGATAAAACTGGCTTAAACCAACTGATGAGGAGAAACTTCCCAAGCCCTGCCCACCAGGCCAAATGAAGATGGCAGCCAGCCTCCTCAACCTGGAAAAAACACATGTGGCCACAGGACAGAGACCAGATGGCCGCCCCTCCATGTGTTTCGCCATCCCCACACCCAGAAAACCTGGCAGGAATGGTTGGAGAGCCAGTGCTGGAAGGAAACGGCGGATAGCAGGGATTCAATACTGGCAGGCGCTTGCGTGGTGATGAAGTGCAGCTGCAGTGCCAGTCCAGGCAGTCAGGGCAGGGCTGTTAACCCCCCCACGTGACTGGAAGGACCTCAAGACTCTGGTTGGATCCAGTGATGAGACTTTGTTGTTGTAGTTTCGATGGTCAAAGTGTTGGTTGAAGAGGTGGCTGTAGTCCTGTCAAAGTGGTGGTCGCAGTCTGGATCCGTCAAGGTGGTGGTGGAAGCCCCAGGTTTAGGAGGCAAACTATGTGGAAGGGCAGCCATCTGTGCTGTGTGTGTTTTTTGCAGGTGGGGGAGGCCAGCCACCATCTTGATTTGGTCTGGTTGGTTTTAACTGAGTTTTATCAGTATTGTTATTGGCATTGTTCTTGGTAAAGAGTTATTTTTCCACTTACATTCAGGCGTATTTGGTCACTCTCTCTGTATTGGAAAAACCAGGGGTACTGAATCTGAGGGGAAGACTTCTGTCCAAGGTATCCGCCTCGCCGAACTATCTCAAACCAACACAGCTAACTATCATCAAAAGCTCATTTGCAAGCACCTGCAAGCAGCATTTTTTGCCAAATAAGAGCAGGCAAGATTATATTTCATTTGACACAATAAATTTTCTAAAGTAGAGAATTAAAAATGTTTGTAGAACAAAGAACTTCTTGTAACCAAGGCTGATAATAATTATGAGTGGTTCAGCACTGTCAAGGTACCTTGGAATGCTCATTGTTTAACCTGGAAAGTCTACTATAACATGGTGTCAGTATTACCTGAGAATATGCACAAAATAAAGAGTCTCACTGGCTTAATCACTAGAATTTCACATTTAGAAATAAGTAAAAGTGTTATGATCAAAAATTTTTATGCTAAAACAGTTTGAAGAAAAATAAATAAATACGCAAATAAAGTAAAAATGCAACAAGAAATAAAAAAAAGGCCAACCCCCCCCCACCAAATCCAGTAAACCAAACCAAAACACTGAAAAAATAACTGTATCAGAAAATACATGGACTGTCTATCTTTTGTTAATACATAGACAGGAAGAGTGATTTGAAGACTTAAAGTAAACAGGTGCAAGGTGGTAATACCTTCCCAGACTGTATTATACACTTTTTATTGCACTTCTGCTTTTTTTAAAAGCTTCAAATACAATATAACATACAGAAAATGTAGTGTCATTGTACCAAAATACTAAAGAACATTCAAGGTTTCAAGATAGGCTTATATTTCCAAGATCCTATTATATGCCTATAACTAGCTATAGCTGTCTTCATTAGCATCACCTGCACTCTCTTAAAAACATAAACAGATCTTGTGTATTTCTGCCAAAACTTTATATCCAAACTTTTATGCCAAACTTTCATAATCACAATTTATTTTTCTTTAAGGCAACAAAATGCAGAAAAATACAACAATTAAATGTAATGACAGCATCAAAAGTTGAAAAACTACCTGTAGAACAATTTAGTTATTTCACTAGGAAATCACATAAGTCTGTATCAATCACAGTCCTTTGCAGAATTGAGTTTATGAAGGCAGTCTGCTCTTCCTTGTAACCTTGTAATACTACCTGCAAAAAGGTGTTCCTGTTGCTAGGTCAATTTCCTTGCAATACAAAGTTTTCTGTACTGAAGTATTTTGACAAGCAAGAATGTTGGGGGCTCTGCACTGTATGCATACTCAGAAGAATCACTACTATATAGTGAGTCATATTTTTCCTCTTTATGTAAGTGCCAGTTTGGATCCCATCAAATCTGAACAGCAAATAGTGCTCCCTTGCGGTAAGATTTTCTAGTGAACCACTCCATACAAACACTAAAGAGGTGATGATAAAGATATGAATAACCTGTGTACCTCCTCTTGGATTACTGCTGCCTTAATTTTAGGCTCTAAATCATTTTCAAGATCTGTAAGTTATCAGCTCCTGACAGACTAAAAAGATGGGAAGGAATGAATTGTCTCCTGAGCAACACTTCATTCCAGCAAGAGATTCCTCTAATACAGAATAAAAAACTATCTGAATAAACATCACCGATGGGAAACACATTGGTTTGTTTGGTTTTTTTCCAATGTGTCAGAACTTCAGTTCAGGACTTAAAGAAGTAAAATCTCAAGGATGTGAAGAGCTACAGCAATCCACAGGTTTGCCATCACTCATGTTGGATCTCAGTATAGGATGCTTTCTGGATTTTAGTTTTGTGATTACTACTGATGCAGCTGGTATGTCAAGATGGACAGTGTTTTCAAAGGCATATTTTGGGGCTGGTTTACTGGGTTTCAGCAGTGAAATTTTTTTGTTATTATCCCTGCCTTTTGTTATTGTTCCACAATGTTTTCATTAATTGGCTTTGCTTGACTTTTCATTATATGTTGGATGCATCTGTACTGATTGATATATATGGCACTAAGCATGTGGAACTGAGAATGTAATCTCTTGGTCGCAGAGCCAATGCTGATGAAATCAATGTCAAAGTCAGACTCCAAGGTGCAGCTAATTATAAAGATGATGGTGTTGATACTCACGTTTTTTTGTATTTCTTCCCCTTGGAAGTGCACGTCTTACTTTGAAGTAAGGGAGACTGTTAAAGCTTGTTAAAGTTTTAGCTGAAGGACAGTAACAGACCATTTTCTCCCTGTACCTCTGTGGTTACTGTGTTTTTCTGCTTTGTCTGTATCATTCTCTACTTTTTAGTAAAAACTGTTTTTTTTGTTTCTACACGTTGCTCAAAAAGCCTCATCTCTATTTTCAAATTTACAGTAAGTCCAGGAGGGAGGGTTTCTATTGCATCAGAGGTCCCACCTCCCTGGCAACATTGTCTTTAACTCAAAACACTTAGGCAGGCGCAGAGAAAAAAATAGAGAAGTTACCCTACTGTTTTTCAGTGTACTCCCCAAGCTTTCTGATGGTTGATACTACTGATGAAAGATATTATTCCAATTTTTTGTCGTAAGATCTGTTCTTCATCATTGCCTTCAATTTCTTCAATGTACTTGTCAGGATTTTTCAGAGCTACAGCTTTCAGCTGGCTCTGTATCACTCTGAACTAGCTTCCCTTAAAAACTGATAGTGCGTTTTAGGCACTGACAGAAAATGGATTACCCCTTTCTACAGCTTTTCTTTTGCTGTAGTAATTGACTGTGTTGAGCCCAAGGAAAAAGCTCTACATTGAAGTTTTGGGTTCTGAGCACGTCCAGAGCCTAAGTAGAAAGGCTTTAGGGAATGCAGTAAGATATGTGCAGCTGCAGGAGGATCTCAGGGAGTGTGTATCTTCGCAGGGTCCAACATTGGTATGATAGAGATTTCTGAAACAGCTGACTCCAATTTTCTTTAATAACTACTCAAAAATCTGAATTCTATAAACTTGCATTTTTTTGTATGTAATCTTCACAACACATTTTGTAGTAGTGAGTTCCATAAGTCAATAAATATAAAGCTTTATATGAAGTACTTTCATTTAAATCTATTTTGATGATTTACTTGAATGAGATTTGATTTTGTTATGAGAAATAATGAATATTGCATCTCCTCTAGACCACTCATTTGTAACTATCCTATCTCCTTCATAGTGGTTTGTTTTTGTTTGGTTTTTGGAGGTGGATGGTGTAGGTTGTTATTTTTCTCCTTTCTAAAACACGAGAAACTACTTAGGGTTTAACATTTTTTCTTCAACTTATCAATGTCAGCACAGAAGCACTCATCCGGGGGCAATGAAGTATTTGAGCTTGTAGTATTAGTAATAAGGTGAAAGGATAGCAGACTACAAAGAAATTAAAAATAAATGAAGGAAAAAGCCTAATGAGCCAATGCTATAAAGCAAAGCCAAGAAACTTAGCTATTTGTATAATTAATTAAAAATACTGTAAGGTAAATGTGTATAGATTAGTCAAGACATCAGAGCTAGTATTTTAATAAGGGAGGTTAAAATACAGCAGGAGGATAGCTATACAAGCAGTATGAAGCAAAAAGTAGTCAATGTTCATGCATAACAGCACACACTGGGTTCTGTACTCATGCCTATTATCAGTTGTGTGGGTAAAATGAACAATTTTCACTTAAAACCACACAAGATGTAATAATTTTTTAATTTAACATTTAATTGTGCTAAAAAAGGCAATTGCACTGGAACTTAGATTGGTCCCCCCTTCCTCTCCCATGCGTCCTTACATTACCTTTAAAACTCATCATAAAATCACATCAAAACCATTCTATAAAAGCTATGACATGAAAACCATTCTGTGATAGTATACAACCCTTTAGTTTTCTATCTACTGAAAAATCATTAAAGTTCCTATATCAATAAATGGCAGTCTGGTTAATAAAAGACATTAATTTTCAAGTGTATAGTCACTACAGATATGCAAAAGCAGAATTGTTGTACTCAAAGTCCACAATAACAATAGCTACAGAAAAGACCGGGATTACACAGAATGACAGCATTGAGTCAGAAGGAAGCCCTCAACTGACATAACTTAGAAGCTGTAGCAATCAACAGAACAGAGACCTGTTACAAGCCTTGATAAACTAGGTCTGAAAAAGCGAAGACAGATACTGTTAGAAACATAGCATAACACAATATGGGTCACAATATGTGGGAAGCATGTAGTGGTAAAGCTGCACACTCAACCTCTGCAGCACTTTGCACAGAAAGATGTTTCAGCTTTCCCAACTGTTTATCTCAAAGCCAATACATTTGTTTGCAAAGGCACATTCTTGAGCAGACACTTCTCTGTTATTTCCAAATTTCTTCAAGGCCATGTACAGGGGGAGCTGTGTTACTCTGAATTTTGCATACAGCAAAATACTAAAGGAAATTAAGAAGACTTCAGGCAATCTAAAAAATCTAAAACACAGAAGTAATATATAAAGTATGATTTTTAAAGTAAAAAAGACTATTAAACATCTTTGCATTGTCTATTACCTGAATTTATTTCTTATAAAAGCAGCTGAAATAAAGATTCCACAATGCAAATCTTGTTATAAAACAGAAGGCCAACTTAAGCAGGCAAAGTTGAGAAGTTAAGCAGTTAAAGAGATTTTTTTTTTTCAAGAGACTTTTTTCTTTTGCCATATTTCACACTCTTCAATAATATAGAAAAAAATCATCCAACAAGAAGTGATTGACGATATAAAAGAAATCTATTATGATGCCTAAGTACATCCTATGTCTGGATTAAGAGTACTGGTGTTGTTTTGTTTTTAAGTACATATGTAGGTCACGCTATTTGTGAAAAGCTTCTAGGCGCATTCTGTTTGGATCTTCTGGATGTCTCAGGGCCATTCCGAATCGCAGCAGCAGCTCAATGTAAGGTGGCCAAAACGACTCATTGATTGTTACATAAGGTTCATGTGGTGTGGTCATTAATTTATTTATCAGAATCTGGAAGACCAAAAGGATAAGATTTAGGAAATAAACAAACAGCTAGATTTTTATCTCCTTTAACCAAATCTGTACAAATTCCTGTAATGTAGGCAATATAAGAAATACTGACTACAGGAGAAATACAAGACCTGTTCAAAGTAGAAGCAAAGAACTTCCAATTAACTTCATTGCATCATTTTTTATGTAAAAATTAGAACCGGAATTCTCCTTTTATTGAGAATAAATATAGACTAAATTCCTTATCTAAATAGAGAATTCGTTAATAGAGTTAAAAACAAAATCAGTTTTGACATACATTTTCAGTTCATGGAGACAGTGTTTATGCCCTCATAATATTGCTCATCAGGAATATTGCACACATTACAGATTAAGTAATCTTACCCATCCCATGGTGCTCTCTCTATTGATCCCAGATATTTAATCTTTCCACTCAGAGGTTCTAAATGTTATACTTTCCCAATTTCAGTAAGTACAAAATATTGTCTGCCTCTTATTGCTAAAGACAAACTCAAAATCCTTCCTACCAGACTATATTCTTTTTTCACTTGTTGCTATTTAAAAAAAACAAACTCCAAATACACAACTGCTCCTCAGAACATTCAGAAGAATTGTTCCAGTTTTGTACTTATTTGACCCAATTATGAGAATTTACTCCAAATGCATTATTTGAGATGAATTTTTACTTAGTCTCTTCTGTCATCTGATATTCCAAAATAGCCTTTAGGCTGTAACATTTATATCTGTATGTAAGAAAACACTTTTCAATTTTAACAGGGATTTCAAGCTAGAACCACATCACTCAACAAATAAAAACCTCCCAGAAAACAAAGATAAGGGACACTGACACTTTAGGCCAAGACAGTTAAAATTAAAAACAAATCTGAATTTTTCAAAGTAGTATGTTCCTCCAAGTGGAAATCAGGCATTACTTGGATGTGTTCACATTTTAAGGAGATTAACAATAACATCAAATATGAAGGGCAATTTTTAAGCATTAGAAGAACTTTAAAATTCTAATTCCACGAGAAACTGTGCCAATTCTAAATTCTGATCTGTTTTCAAGCTCTGCCTAATTTGACATTAATAGGTACGCTCAGATATCTGAAGCATGTAAAATTATTTTGATGATGCAAGCACAAAGCCTGGGTTTTAAACTAAAGTACAACAATGTCATAGTGATCAGATAACAGCATCTTAATACCAGAAAGTTTTTATCCATTACGTTGGGCCTCAGAAAAAAACTTTTTCCCTCAGGGACATTTTATATACATAGATGCTTTGAACTGTTTGAAGAGAAAGGATAGAGGAGGAATAAGAAACTTCACTTCAAATGCTACATTTAAGGCAAGAAGGAAAATTATGCTTTGTAATTCAAATTCATAGATTGCACTGTAATTAAAAACTTACACAAAGCACTTATAAATTAGAAATGCATTAATTGGACCGGTTTCCTCATATGAGAAGATAATCATGCATGAGACTACATATTAGTTGGTCCTTCTGAGATTACACATGAACTGATTCTTCTGTAACTGTTATTGCATTAAGTTTAGAAAAATTTTTATTGAAACAGTACAAAATATAGTGTGAAATGGACCAATTTTTTTGTTAAGCACTGTATTTTTCTCTCCTAATATGAGCCACTAAGGCGCCTAAAACTTCTTTAAACTAAACATTATAAAATCAAGAAATAAGAGATAACCACACTCCAGCTTAAACTGAAGATTATTGCCACAGCTCTTGTAAAAATTGGGGGTTTATTTTGATAGGAATTAAAACAGAAAACTGACTTATCTGAATATCTCTTCTTTCAGTTTAAAACCATTCCCCCTTGTCCTATCACTATCTACCTGTATAAAAAGTTGCTCTCTCTCTTTTTTACAGGCCCCCTTTTAGTACTGGAAGGTTGCAATGAGGTCTCCCTGAAGTCTTCTTAAAGACGTAAAATTCTTAAAAATTCTACATTAACTATCTTAACCAAATGCCAGATACTGTCATTCATCTTAGTAATATTAATTAATGCATACCACTTTATGGCTATTGTTATTATTATTATTATATGATCTGAGTATTGAAAAATCCTCCAAATCTCTACATAATAAAACTATCTTACCTCTAAAATGTCTTGCAATGCTAGCAGTTCTACAGCTGGCTCTGAAGAAAAGTTCTGGAAAGATAAACATCCCCACAGCCAAATTAACAAAACCTCAAACTAGTAAGGAAAGATGTTAATTGACAAATGAAAATAATCACACAATTATTTGATTGCATAGTACACAACAGATGAAAACTTTTACTTAGATTTAGTCATGACAGAAATACAAGGTAGTATTTAAAACTAGTTTTAAAACCAGTTCAAAATCCTACACTTCAAATGTAACATTTTTTTAATTATTAAGAGATTAATCTTAAGTGATCATGTTTCTGTTTGTGTTTATGTTTAAATAAAACCAAGTACATCACATTTATAATGTAGTATAGTGCAGAACCTTCTATGAATATGAATATGTTAGGGAAAAAATGTTTTTCATGAGCTTTGGATAAATATTTACAATACAAATTTGACAAAACTCAAGACTTCATTTCATAGTGCCTTAATATTTTTTCATGACTTGCCAATGAATATTTATTCACTCTTACTTTAAATTCAATTTTGACAATAATCAAAAATCTGGGGGGGGGGGGGAAGGTGATGATAAAATATTATTAAAAAATTACTTGTTTTCCTTTGTAGCAAGCAAATCAAGCCATTTGTCTATACGCCAATAGAGATTCCTTAGGTAGCAATGCTACTGGATCTGCTTGTGCTGTTGCATGGTGAACCTGATTGTTTAATTTTTCAGTTTTATCCTTTTTACCCTTCCACTTCACTTTCAAAAAATTAAGGAGGTAATGCAGCACTGGCACCTGCTTACTCAGCATTGCTATTGAGTAAGTCAGTTAAGTCCTAAGATATTAATAGCTGTGCTGGACCTTATAGGAACTTCTGGAACAGAAGAATACAAGCAAGAAAGAAAAACTTGTAAAAAGCAAGTTCTGGCACCTTTTTTTCAGTCACACTTTGTAATATTATCACCTTCAGAGTCAGAAGGGGGACACACTGCCTGCTCCATGGCAATGTTGCAAACCATGGAGGCTCAATAATACCTATCTTTGTGCCTTTATCTTGATACTTGGCTGAGGAAATAGAACTTACACTAAGTGAAAAACGTTCCTTAGAGCAAACGTAAGGATACTTCACAGCCTCGGCTGTTTTATTTCCCTGGTCAAAAATACTGCTTTGTAACTTTAAGGTAGTGGGTTCAATATTCATGTTTCAAAGCTGAAATCAGATTATGACTTCAGCAATTATTAAAATTGATTGTATACAAAGAATAAGGATATTAATGTGAAGAGGTTTGCACTCTCACAGAACTAGCAAACATATTTTGCTAGGTTTATCATACACATTGTATACTTCGTAAAATTATTTTACTTATATATTTTGTCACCGATACAATAAGTACCTTTAATTAATTAATGATTATAAAGTCAATTTAAGCAAGATGTGCAGCATTTAGTTATTTAACCTGAAAGGCACCTTCTTCTCCCTTTTGTTAGATAGATTCGCATAAAGAATATTCCTCAACTTACGACTTTTCATATTCTTCTCTTGAAAAAAAAAAAAGTCCTTTTTTATCTAAGATTTAAAATGCAAGCTAATTCTTACCACAGTCACTACCTATATTAAAGGTGTTGGACTATAGCAAGGGAAGCTAACCTGGGCTGCTGTGACCCAGTCTTCACTCTCACTCCCAATCCTAGATGCATGTGCCTGCTGAAAGAAGGGTGGAACTTGACCAGCGAGGCTTCTAGCAGTTCACACTACTGTGCAGCTGTGTCCTACAAATGTCAGCCCCACGTATTTTTCTCATACAGGACTACTGCGAACATAAGATGTTTCCACAAAGTGTAGTTTACGGGGGACCTGTAGTTAAGCCACTGAGACCCAAATGAGTCAAACAATATAGAAGAAACTGAATTCACAAGGAGTGAAAAGAAAGAAAAAGATATGTCAGAAAACAAACTGTGTTTAAGAGTTCAGGAAATGCATAAATAAAAGTTAAACTAAGGAAAGATAAAACCTTGTGCTGAAATTATTCAAAATAACTTTTTTGTTTTAGTAAGAGTGATTGGTGACAGCCAACTTGGCTGTCTTCATTCAAGACCAACTGCACCCAACAAATTTGGTGGCCTTTTATGATGGAGTTATAGTGTTGCTGGAGAACGGAAGAGCAACTAATGTCATCTACCCAGACTTGTGCAAAGCATTTGACATCCTTGCATCCAAAGCATGACATCCTTGTCTCTAAATTGGAGAGACTGAGAGCAAAATGTGTCATATTTACTAATAGTGGGAAACGAAGGCATTGGTATGCAGAAAAACTAAGATTAAACAAAATAAGATGTTTGAATAATACATTGAAAAAGATCATCGTGTCTTGAAATCTCCACTTAGTATTTTTATATGCAAAAGATACAAAATACCTATGTGCAAAATCAAGATTGTTTTTAACTAAAAGCTTCCTCAGTTGCAAATAACAGATAGAAAGAGACAAGGGTGTAATTAGTTGCTTTGGTGATAGATGTGAGCTAGTAGTTTTGTTTATAATATTGTTTTTTACCAGGTTCCAAAAAGATCAATCCAAGTGAAAACAAATATAGAAAATGGGTATTATTAGGATAAGCCAGGGAATTGAAAAATAGTCTTACGTGAGAACATAAAAGTGTTGCTGTCTAAAAATGCATCAGGAGGAATAAACACAAGAAAAAAAAAGACTATTCTAAGAAAAATACTGGTGTAAGAATACATGGATCTGTGTTAGACATGGATAAATTTAGACTGGAAGCTATGAGAGTTTCTAACCAGAGTACTGAGGTGCTAAAAAACCCCCAGTAGAAGCAGTAGTAATAAAAATTATCTGTTTTAAAATGGAGCTCAATGATAATATTAAAGGATAATATTAAAGGAATTATATTTTGTGGTTGTCTGAAATAACAGCGAACTGGATGAAAGAATCCTTTCTGTTTCTGTCATCTTAAGTATGTCTGAAATAAAAATCAAGCCCCTGCCTTTACTTTTCAGCTTTTTCGTATCTATCAAATACTAGAGTAATAGTTTTATTTTTACTGCAGACTTTGAATTTATTACGCAAAATACTCCCTGGCTGCCTATTTTCCCTAAAGTTTTGAGATAATTTTTGGCCCAATTTGCCTGAACAAAATCTGATGGTTAACATTCTAAACTACTCTGTAATTAGAAACACTTGTCCTTATTGTTCTAAAACCACTGTTAGACAATTAAAATTTGCTTTGCCAAGGAAAACAGGAATCCACTTGCCTAGCTGAGTAAAAAAGAAAATGGACCAATTTGGATTGAACCCCCCACCATTTTCAAATTTGGCACAGCTTGCAGTTCAGTAGGAAATACAATACAGTATTATGCATTTAGAAAAGAAAATATCCAGCTAGAAACACCCTTAAATAATATAAATGAACCTGAAATATATAAATTAAACCTAAAGGATTATCTGCAAGAACTATACTTATTTCAAAATATAACTGCAGATTCTATGCTAGTGACTTTAAACAGATACTGCATCTAATTAAATAGAAATTGAACATGTTAAATTTAATAGTCATAGAAAAATCTTACCCTTTTTATGGCACTTCCACTATCCTGTGGAAGGGGAAAATGTTCATCCAGGAATTCACCCAGTGCACTCAAGAGTTCTTTCTTATATGTCTTTAATTGCAACATTTTATTGCGCAGTTCCTCCAATCCTCTAATTTCCAAATAGTAAAAACATAGCAATAGAGTATGAAATCAAATAAAATAATTTAAAAGTTCCTCATAAGTAAAAAACCCCCTCATATTCAGTTCTTATAAATGCAACATCTTGAATGACAGAACATAGTAGCAATATTTTCCATGTTTCAAATCTGGATTACTGAGCAATTATTTGAACTATTTAGCAAAACAAAGAGTATGTTTTATGAGTTTGTTTGTTCATTTGCTCCTGTTGATATTTGAATTCTTCAATATAAAAACTGAACAGTGTAGAAATACCTTGTTTTGTAAAGTTGTTCAACTTGGGGTTTTGTCTCTTCTTCAATTCTGTTAAGAGTATTTAGCATCTGTTCCTGTTCCTCATACCACTGCTGTTCTCTTTGAAACATGAAAAACAGTAAATGGCACAACAGAAAAATAGTTCTTCTGGGCGGTCAAAAAAAAAAAAAGCTTAACAGCATTCTAAATTCCAAATTATTATATTACCTTTCCAGATCTTCTTCTAGTTGTTTATTCTTTGAACAAACTGCTGATAGCACCTTTTCAAGATCATTCTTTACTTTCTGCAACTATAAAAAAGTAAAAATGAAACTACAGTTTGCAGGTAGCCCAGTCTGTAGTATTCATTCTATGTAAGGCTGCATCTCTAAATCTGATACAGAAGGCCAAAATGATCTGCAGATTCTTAAGAAATAAGGCTATAGTGTGACACACTATTTTAGAATCCAGTTTAAAATGCAGGAGGCTCTTTAAAACATTACTGTCACCAGTTGCTCATTAGTGTTTTATTGAAACTTTGCAAAACAACATAGTTAATTTTACCTGAAGCAGATTATGGAGCACACACATGAACTGCTCAGCTGATGAATGACTGAGGAGAAAATGTCTACAGCACCAGGGCTGTATTGTCTGAATCACTGCAACTGCTTGCAAGAATGAATCCATGCTAACTGCACTAACATCAAAACTATAGAAAACAAAGATGCTGCAAAAGAGACTAATGGCTTCCATGATTTAAATGGTCCTTGATGCTATGGACATATCTGGGAGAGGAAAGAAGGAGAAATAAAACTACTGCAGCCAGAAGCTATAGGCACTGCTGAATCTAGGGAACAGTGGACTCTCACTGGGCTGGGTCATTCATTACAGAATGGGTAAGGAATACATGTTCAGGAATACATTCAGTGCAGGTGTACAGCTGCAGTGTGAGCTGCTGGTTGAACCCCTGGTGGGCTGGAGCCAAAGCCTGAGCCAACATGCCATGAACTGCTGACCCCTTGCATAACAAAGGGCCCAGGGACCTGTGGGCCTGCCAGGAGACCTGGACACTGAGTCTCCCCAGGAGCCGATGACTCCCTGACTTTCCAGGGTTTAGACCAAAAAGGTGTAAAAGCTCAGGGTATAAAGGTATAAAAGGTATAAAAGTTTTAGGTCCCTCCTCAGAGGCAACCTTTGAGTTGTTATTTTGTTATTATTGCACCATTATTAAATTATGTTAAGGTTCTGGATGTCTGAGACTTTTGTGGGAAACCTGAGGTCAAGCCTCAGGTATGGATTTCTTACTCAGGAAGGCATAAGTAAGGAAACCTATCTTAAGGGCAGGTGTCAGAGGATGGGGTGAGGCTCTTTTGAGTGGTGCCCAATGATAAGACAAGGAGCAACAAGCACAAACTTGGAACACAGGAAGTTCCATCTGAAAATGAGGAAAAATTACTTTAATGGAGGGTGAGCACTGTAACAGGCTGCCTAGAAAGGCTGTGGAGTCTCCTTGTCTGGAGATATTCAAAAGCCACCTGGACACAATCCTGTGAGGCACTTAGGGACAGGGTTTAGTGGTGGATTTGGATGGTTGGACAGGGGCAAAATACCGTTTATTGTGTGTTACTTACTCACTGACTTGTGCAGTAAGTCAGTTTAAAAGCTCATTCATTACAACTAGAAAATTTTAGTAGTTACAATACAGGGGAAATAAACAATTAGAACAACAACAATGCCTGAAGGAAAATACACAGTATCTTAGCAGTAGTCCATCCCAAGAACAGTCATAGGAAAATGCAGCAATTTTATATAGGTTTTTCTTTTTTTTCCCCAGCAAAAGTTTATTATCTCTTAACAAACAAAAAGACTTACCTCTTCTTTTCCTAATTCTAACAATACATCTGGATTGGTAGAAATTGCTGAAAAATAAAATGAATTGGTGGGGTTTTTTCACTGAATGATAAAGACTTATTTATACTGAAAAGCAGCCCAGCTAGAGAGAAACTTGTGTAGCCTCTAAAAAACCAGTTTGGCTGTCAGCACCAATTTAACCTTTTTTTGTGGTGTCCTACTGAACTAACCTACTATCATGATTCAGCAGTTTAAACTAGACTGAAAAAAGTCCAGTGTTAATGCCTCTGTTATACAGTGCAGTTATAATGCCTCTGAACTAGCCCCAGGTATATAGGCATAGGTACATAATGACTGCATATCACATTTCAATATACTTCAAGATAACCAAGTCTGATTTTTTTCAGCAGAAGGCATTCCATCAACATTACCAATGTGGGCAATCAGACTTCACCAGTCTTCCAATTCCATGTTAAACAGCCTCCAAATGCTTCACCAGGACTATAAACCCTACTATTTTTAAGAACTTAGAAAGCATGTCCTCATCCCTTCTGTTCACAAGAACAGCTACATGTAGGGAGATGAAAGGCCTAGCAATATCAATATTCTAAATCTAACACTGAGCAACGACAGTACTTAAGGGAAAGCATGGTACAATTTAAGAATATGGAAATGTTTCCCCAGAATGCTTCTGCAAAATGCAGTGATTTATGGATCACGGATTTTCAGAATAAAAAGTGAACTGTTGTATTTTACAGCCTTGAGTGCAGTCCAGTCAATTCTCACTTCCATGTCAACTTAGACCATCTGTATACAAGTATGACCTTTTTTGAAAGTGAACTATTTGAACATACTAACAGGAGACATGAAAGCTGCTCTAACAGATTTGAATCTTAATATGACAGGAATTTTTTGATGAAAGTTTGGGCTTCAAATCTCTTAATCTTAAAAATAATTATTTAAATAAAAGCTTTTCCTTTAACAAAAAGGAAAACCCTTACCCCTTTCCTGAAAGCACTAAACATCTCCTAAATACGTACTCTTGATTTCATAAATTTAGAAAAGTACTTTTTTTGTCATGTTACAGTTTTTACCTCAACAAATTTTGAGAAGCCTTAGATGAGTAGTTTTAAAAGCAGTGTTTGTTCTGAGATGAAAATCAGAAAAATTACTGAGTTAAAAATACACAAAATTACATGTCCCAGTAAAATCCCTTTTACTTAGGTAATTAGTGTTTCTAAATATTGACACAAAATTTGACTAGTACGCTGCCAAATTAAGCTTAAGAGCTGCAGGAGGTAGTGGTCTGTGCTATTATTAGAACAATACTTCTTTAATTACATGAATATCCTACAACCCATGATAAAACTCATTGGTAAACTTTTATTCCCATTAACTGGTGTATTTGAAGAAACCCATACAACTCTTCCTCCTGCAACTTCCTGCTGACATGATTATTATAAGCCCTCACTTATCAATTATTATCAATCTCTACTATTGGCTTCTAACACTTCCTCATTTTTAGATACCTAATCCTGAGTTCGTGCTTCCTGTTCAATTCATATTGAGTGAGTATGAGAATAGAAGGCCACATCTTCCTGGGAAAGAACCACTAACTGTAATTTAGTGCAGGAACAATGTAGATCTGAGACACTGGGGCAACGCATTTACAGCTGCCATTGTAAAGTCACTGGTTGTTTTATCTACTAACAGTTAAAGCTTTTTCAGTTGCAGAATCACTACACTTGCAAAAATCAAATGTCAGACAGAACTGTCTAGTGATACATAGCACAATTACTAAGCAAAATACTACCAGATGCTAGGAAAGTAAAAGCCACTACCATGCACATGTTTACAGAAACTCCTATTAAAACAAAACAAAAAGGCATTTGGCAGAATACTGTTATTTTGCAAAGAAAAATAGAAATTATGCAGAGACCATGACTGTTTTATACGGTTTAAAACACAATTGCTTTCATTTCCTTAGTTTGCAAAGGTGAAAGTTAAATTCTATTTTTATAAGCCAAATGCTTTTTAAAAAGTTTAAATTCAGCTGATTTAGCAGATCTAGAGCTACATAAATAGCAGCAGAAATGGAGAAAGAACAAGAGACCAAAGTATAAGCTTCACAAAAATAAAATTTGCATTGTGAACTCAAGTCTGTTTGCCAATATTGTGGTCAAAAAAATGTAGAACTGCCAAGTTATAACCTCTGAAAATAAGGTTTAAAATTGAAATGCTGACAGGCCCTCATTTACAGGAAATTAACTGGCCACTATTAAAAGCAGAAACCAAAGTAACAAGACAGCCTGACATTCATGCTCTATTAGTAAATTGTATGAAATCAGTATTTCTGCTATTTTCATTTAGATAATTTCAGATAATGCTTTCAATTAAGTAATTCAAGACAAACAGTAGATAGAAAAAAGCCAAGATGGACAGACAACTAAGCAAAGTAGACTCATCTTCATACAAGCATTATAACTATATATATTCAAATTCTTAGCAGCAATTTCTTTTTAGTTCCCTTGGAAAAGTAGCCAAAAAGGCAAAGCTGTGGCTGCAAAATATTATTTGCATTACAATATGCATAGATAATTTCTCTATTAAAAAATTAATAATAAATATTATAGTCTGGGAACAAGTAAGAATAGTTCAACAAAGCAAGCCAGCAAGCCAAAAAAATAGGTCAAGCCCTAAGGATATTTTTAAGCCAATAGTTTAAAGTTTATTATATGTATTTTAGTAAGGAAATTTAACAATCCCAGGTATTTCACCCAGATAAAAACTAAGTGCTTTCAATTAATTTGCTTTAAGCCAGCATCTTATTCATGAATAGCAGCAGGGAACCAGTACATCCTAAATTCATTCAATGCCATACACTTTTGGTCTACATACCTCTCAGAAGTATTTGAGGCTGACAATTCTTAGACAGGCTTACAAAGCTGAACTACTAATTTATTCTAATAGGGCAAAAGTATCTTTTTATAAGAAAGAAAAACGATTTTTTCCCAGCTTCTCTCATGATATGCAGCTAGTACATGGACTTTGAAAGAAGTTGGAGAACTGCCTCTAATGTTGATCTGAAAAGGCATTTCCATTTGGCCAAATGACAAAACATTGGAATTCACCATGGGCTGTCTAAAACACATTCCTATCATTTTGTAAACACTAAAAAACCAAGCCTCTTCTGGCTTAAAAATATTCAAATGAGCCAATGTATTAATTTAAAGACTAACTGGTAAGTTTTACTGGGTTGACAGGTGCTAACAGGTCCTTGACAGGAGACGTAACAGTGAGTGCTACCAGTATACTAATGACAGTGTAGTGTGAACTGTTTTAAGAGTCTCCAAATGGGACATCTGAAAACACAGATTACTTTACTCGCACTTCAGTTTTGAATGGTTTTATTTCCAGTCTCTGACCACATCACCTTGTGAGAGAGTGAAATCAGTCAGCACTGATGCTTATGTAAAAAGAAAACTTTGAAGAACTGAGGAATTTATACCTTTTAACTGATAATGCTTAACAAATTTAAAAAATCACTTGTGTTTTGTGCTTTGCAGGATCAGTAAGTGTCCCGGATTTCTGTTTTGTTAAAATAAAACTCTAGTGTCTTTTACCATCTTATCTTGAGCTGAAATCTCCAATCCCTGTTAAATCCAAACCAGGTATTTTATTATGGTGTAATGGGCTTAACACTAAAGGTCTACTCCAAAGTTTCAACTAATACATCATAATACAACATACTTTTGTGAAGTATTAGTAAAAAAATAATCAGAGGAGGTATATATATATATATATATATATATACACACACCTGGGCAAATTATTGTTAGCTTATTAGCAATACTTGCAAAGATTTAAAAAAATGTAATAGATTCTTAAAAGACAAGATGAAGACAATATTATTTGACAAAGTAGTTCTGTTCTAAAAAGGAAACACAAATGAAAGATGGAGAAGAAACAATCACACAGAGAATAACATGAAGGAGCATAACAGCATAATGGACTTTCGTTATTTTGTTAGATTTGCTAACAGTTATGTTTCCACTTAACTGACTGATGAATGGTGGCATAAATCATGCATTTATTTGTGCAGAATTATAAGATTAGGTTATAGAGGAAATCACTTCTAAGTCAACTTAGAGCTGAAGTGCAAAAAGAATAAAGAAATGAAACATACAAGCTACTGTGCGAAATATTTAATTTTTAAGTAGTACGAAAACACAATCAGCATCCTTTACAGGGAAACAGTTACTTACTTTCAGGACTTCTCTCATGGCACTCTTGATAATCTACTGTTAAAGCTTTCCATTGCAGCATTAACAAGGCAAGCTGTGTAACAAGAAAAGAAGTATCTCGTAAAGTGTTAAATTGCACTGGTGTAAAATGATGTAGAACAGGATAGAAGTTAAATTAATAAGTTCATACAGTAGAAAACAGAAGAGCATCTACGACAATAGAACACTTATTCCTTCAAAATATTTTAAAATCAGTTGCAGAGATCAAAAACATTTATATTATTTTTTCAAAATGGGGAATGAGAAGGAGTCAGAGTTGGCATTTTTCCCCTAATTTTCTTTGCAATGACTACAACTAAAGAGGAGCTACTAGAAGCAATGACAAATACTTCACATCCTGACTTCTCCTTCATGGCTGAACTTGCTTATCCCACAGTTGGACAACATGTCCAGAAGGATACTATGATGGACAGTATCAGAATGACACTTTTCAAGAAGAAATTACATAGGCACTAATTAGGAAATAGTCCAAATAGGTATTGAAGTTACACACCTCTCCATTTTGCTGCCTATGTTAATCATTCATCAGTTGTGTGCTTCAAAGTTAGTAAATCTGTCCTTATCTTGACCCATGAGGCTGCAGTTATATTTCCTTTCCAATGTCCAGGTGAGGAGGGATAAGCAGCTTTAGTGGGCACCTGGTGGCAAGACAGGGTCAAACCCACCACAGATGCACTGAGGGTCCTAAGGGAACTGGCAAATGAAGTGGCAAAGCCACCAATCCATCATATTTGAAAAGTCACAGCAGTTTGCTTAAGTTTCTGAATGTAAAAGGGTACACATAACCCTTATTTTTAGAAACAGAAAAAGAAAGATCCAGGGAACTACAGATTTGTCAGTCTCACCTCTGTGCCGAGCAAGATCATGGAGCAGATCCTCCTGTAAAATATGCTGAAGCACGTGGAAGATGAGAAGGTGATTAGGGGAAATTAGGGGAAAAATGCCAACTCTGACTCCTTCTCATTTCCCCATGTGACTTCACTAAGGGTAAATTGTGCCTGACAAATTTGGTGGCCTCCTATAACAGGATTACAGCATTGGTGGATAAGGGCAGAGCTACTGATGTAATCTACCTGGATTTGTGCAAGGCATTTGACACTGTCCTGCACGACATCCTTGTCACTCAACTGGACAGACACAGATTTGACAGACAGATCACTCGGTGGGTAAGAACTGGCTGGATGGTTACTGTCAGAGGGGCAGTCAACAGTTCAATGTCCAGGCAAAGACCAGTGATGAGTGGCAATCCTCAGGGGTTGTTTTAGAGACCAGCACTGTGTAACATCTTTGTTGGTAATGTGGACAGTGGGATCGAGTGCTGCCTCAGCAAGTTTGCTGACACCAAGCTCTGTGATGCAGCCAACATGCTGGAGGGAAGGGATGCCATCCAGAGGGACCTGGATGGCTGGGCCTGTGCAAAACATGAAGTTCAACAAGACCACACGCAAGGTCCTGTACCTGGGGTCAGGGCAAGCCCTGGTATCAATACAGGCTGGGGAATGAATGGATTGCAAGTAGCCCTGTCAAGAAAGACCTGGGGATCCTGGTGGATGGAAAGCTGGATATGACCCAGCAATGTGCTCTTTGACAACCATGACCTGGGCTGCACCAAAAGCAGTGTGGCCAGTAGGTTGAGGGAGGGGATTCTGCCCCTCTACTCCACTCTGGTGAGACCCCACCTGAAGTGCCGCAACATCTCTTCTCCTCCGAAGAGAGGCTAGGAGAGTTGACGTTGTTCAGCCTGGAGAAGGCTCCAGAAAAACCTTAGGGCAGCCTTGCACTACCTGAATGGTATTTGCAGGCCTAAAAGAAAGCTGGAGAGGGACCACTTACATGAGCATTGTAGTGATAGGGCAAGGGGCAATGGCCTTAAGCCGAGAGAGGACAGGTTTAGATTAGATATTAGGAAGAAATTTTTTACTGTGAGAGTGCAGAGACACTGGAGTGGGTTGCCCAGAGAAACTGCGGATGCCTCATCCTAGAAGGGTTCCAGACCAGGGCTTTGAGCAACCTGATCTAGTGAAAGTATCCCTGCCTATGCCAGGGGTGCTGAAAACAGATGATCTTTAAGGTCCCTTCCAACGCAAGCCACTCTATGATTCTATGGTCTTTATAGAAAACAAAGTATTTAGTGGAAAATAAAAAAACCCAAACAACCGTCTTACCTTGGTATCTGATTTTAGCAGTGTTTCTATTCCTAGAAGCATTATCTTGCTTTGACACTGGGTAGAAAAGAAACAAAACACAAGCAATGTTTGTTTACTCTTCCCTTTTGTAACAACAGAATACAATCCTTAGAAAGTTGAACATAACTTTTTAAATATAGGAATAGAAGAGTTGTGACTTGGATCCCACCACATCCCTTAGATCCTTACCCAGAACAGCAAATTAAGAAATATTTTGAAATCGCACCACAGTAAAGCAGAACTTAATTAAATGGAAAGTAGAAAAGTAGCAGCTAAAAAAAGATGTATCATTTGACTAAGAAGGCAAATTATGAGGGAAAAGTTCATATAGGGAAAAGCACTGATCATGTGAAGAACATGAGAAACTGGGAAGAGAGTCATGCACAAGGCTGAACAGGGAAGCTGCTGAGAACTTAACACACTTTCTGCTACTCCTCTGGCTCTCCAAAGAGATTAATCCCATTTTAATACACATTTTTAGGTTAAAGTCATTTAGGGCAGTATACTGCACCCTTCAGAAGTGGTCTGACTTTCAGAAGTGCACTACATCAGCTCCCATGATTGCAATGGGAAGTATATGCAGTCTGAAATTCAGGCCACCACAGATATCCAAGGCTTCAACAGGAGACATCTGCTGAACACTTTCTTGTTTCATAACTGTCAGCAATTCAACCTATCCCATGACAGGGCAAGATGTACTCTACTCAACAGTAAGCAGTACTTTGGAAACCTTGTTGTTAATGTCTGGAAACCAAAATACAACGCAGGATTTCTCCTACAAAAACTGCTAATGATGTCACACAACCATTTGAACATTACATTGTAATCATATACCCACGATCCCACTCAATGACTATTAGTTGTTTAAACTTCTTTCTGAAACATGCGCATTCAGAATGAAAAATCAAAGTAATGAAAATCCTACTATTTTTATCAACTTCCAAAAATAACAGACATTATTACTTCCTGTATTATTTTGGGGATGATGGGAATGAGATACAAGATATCTAAGACTTTCAATTAAATTCAAAATAGTAAGCATTCTAACTTCCCTTCTAATTTGAAAATTTCAAAGAAAAGTTCAGGTCTTCCAAACACAACTTCAGAAACCCAGACAGAGAATTCCCTGCCACATTAGTATCTTTAAATCTGATTATGTAAAATTATTGCTCTGTGAGTTGTCTGTACGTTGTTCTACTTTAAGTTCAGAAATACCTTTACTTCCGTTTTTGAAATTTTACTGCTTTGAACCTACAACTCAGAACTCAAGCAGATAGCATTCAAAATTGAGCACAGCAATTAAGACTGAAAATATAACTTAGAAGATGACCTTTCATGAGACTTGGCAGAATCTTATAGAATGCACAGTATTCCCTCAGAACTGACAGAAGTTTATCTTTCCTGGGATTCCCTAAATAAAACCAATCTGCCCTAAAATGTTATTATTAGCATATTGTACCATATATCAGAGAGAGATAAATTTTAACCATGATGATATAACCATCAGTTTGGATAAGCATTTGCAAACATCTTTGTCCTTTTATGCCTCTCCTCCTATTCTCTCCTTTAAGCTCCAAACTACTTGTGAACAGCACTGGAATCCTATCTTGTGTGAGGCTAAAGAGAGAAGGATCTCAAGTCTCAGTGTGCTGGTACTACCATAAGTAAATAGTTTAATTTTCCCTAATTTAATACATACTCCACGCTAACTAAATCATAACATCAGCACATTGTAAACAACCTTTGAATGCAAGGCATCCCTCACCCCTGCCAGCACATCTACCTTTGGCCTTTTTATTCTTTTTGTTTTGTTGTGGTGGTTTCTTTGGAAGAGATGGGGTAAGCAGGCAGTGAATAAAACAATTCTGACAAAAGTTTACAACAAATCTAGTCTATCACTTATGGTTCCCATACCTGTTCCAATTCCTTCCAGATATTGTTACATTCCATCAAGAGTTCTTTCTTGGCATCTACAGGACAAAGTTCACTGGTGCGTTCTGCCTTGGTGGGTGCTGCATTGATGGGTTCAGCCTAATAACAAGCAAACAGAATAGTTATCGTGTATATCTACAATAATTATTACCAGTTACAGAATCATACCTGCCACTTCAGGTCAAATATGCAACAGAATGCAAAGCTTTCAATTAATGCCCCTGCAGTTCTAGATAGCACCCAATTATTAAGTAAAATCAGCTAACTATATGACTATAGAAAAATCAGAAGACACGAATAATTCACTTTTAAAATTGAATCACAAAATCCTAAATTTTCAAATCTGCTTTGATTACCTGCAATGGCTTTTCTTTTCAACAACTTTAATACAGAAACAATAAGAGAATCTCACATCTACAAAGCTATGCTTTTCCTCCGTATATCTGCAAAATTCTTAAGCAGTTACTTCTGCTCTGTCTTCCAATAAATGTCCTAATCTATTTCTCCTTCACTACAATTCAGATTTTTGATTAACAAATTAAAGCATCCTCAAAATTACTAGAAAAACAAACAAAAGAGTCAGAAAAATATACAGGCAACCAAGGAAAGAGGGCACCAAGACATCTGAGAGAAAAATTAATCCAAGTTAAAATAAAAACTTTGAGAAATGTTGGGTCAGAGAGAAACACACACAATTTCAGAAATTTACTCCCAGTTAAATCTCTTAAGATACCCAAATGACAACAGCGGCTAAGATGGGAAACATCTTAACAAGAAGGGCTAAAATGGCACTCAAAGGAAACTTTTCTCCCCAAGGTAAAACAACCAATAGAAACTTCCTAGATGTACTAGATGCAGAAAGCCTTTAAAAATATTTAAGTGGATCACTAAGTCCACCAGATTAAAGAGATTAAAAAAAAGATCTAATATACATCTCTTAATAATGCACAAATTTCTAACTCAACTTTTTGTTCATTTTCAGAATAAAAACACAGAATCAGAGAAAATTATGTCAAAATCCCAAGTAAATTAAAAGGAGTCAAATATTCAGCTAGTACTCCCAAAGTTCAAGGATGACAAAAAAAAAATCAGAACATCTCACTGAATGCTGGAACTATTCTAGAGTACTGAAAGGTAGCAATACTTCTACTAATCTTCCAGGCTAATTTATTGCATCAATAATTAAAAACAGAACCCTAGAATACCTAGCTTGCCATGATCTGATAAAGTCTAAAGAGCATAGTTTTAGCAAAGGAAAATAATTATCTTCTTAAGAGCCTTGGAATGTTTCCATCATATAAAAGAGAAGTAGTTCACATAATTTATTAAGACTTCTGAAATGCCTCAAGCAAAGACTGCCTAGAAGAAACTAAGAAATAAACTAAACAGCCTTGAGATGCAATGTACTTTTTTTCTGAGACATAAAAAACTGCAAAGGAGACAAACAAAGGGAGTTTGAGTGGGGGGGAAAAAAAAAGAAAAGAAAAAAGGGGAGGAAGAAAAAGTACCCAACCTTTTGAAAGTTTGAAAAGGATCTTGGGGTGGAATAAAAAATCCATATTCCCCCTGCTGTCCCCTGCAATAATACAATTAATCACCATACAAGTATTATATGAAATAAAACTCTGAATACACAGCCAGGAAAAAAACCACTATACAAAAATGATCAAATGATTCTGTTATTCTTGGCTTTAAATTTCTAGACAACGTTTCAGAATGTACACATTGTGAGATATGAGAGGCAAGCCAAACTGACTTGTGATCCTTAATGCTGTGCTCTTAATTACCTCACATAGTGCATATACTGGAGTATATCCTTGTAGCTTGCAGTTTTCCCTATTTCTGTATGGTTAAATTAGGTTTCTATTTTTACACCATACCTGAAAACTGAAGGCTTTTTTGGCATGTCATGACTATTAATGCATTCCAATTTCAATACGTTATTCCTTCTGACTTTGTTTTAGGACTACATAATTAGGTTACCAAGGTAATTAAACTGTTGGACTGATTTGAGCTCTGATTGGCCAATGGTGATGTGGGGATGATGGGGGACTTCCTGAGGTGCAGGTTGATAGAGAACTTCTGTCTTCTTCAAGCTGACTTCCAGCCCAAAGAGCTCAGCAGCATCGGCAAAGCAGGATGTTAAACAGCTGCTGAGCTGCTTCTGTGTGGGCAACAAGGGCGGCATCATCAGCATAAAGCAGCTCCCGGACAAGATGGTTTAAGGTCTTGGTGTGGGCCTTCAGTTGCCTTAGATTGAATAGACTTCCATTAGTATGGTATCGAATGTAGATACCGTCCTGATCATCGAGGTCTGCTGTGGCCCTTTGGAGCATCATGCTAAAGAAGATGGTGAATAGGGTAGGAGCGAGAACGCAGCCTTGTTTCACACCATTCTTAATTAAAAAGGGCTCAGAAAGTGTGTTGCCATATCTGACTTGGCCGTGTTGATCCTCGTGGAGTGAGATGATCATTTTAAGGAACTTGGGGGGACAACCTAAACGGCCTCATCTCCTCAGATGGTAAGATCGACGGAGAGATAGACAACAGGTTAGCAAAGGCATATAGTGCTTTTGGAAAACTCCACAAAAGAGTATGGCGTAATAAACACCTGAAGAAAAGCACCAAGATCAGTGTTTACAGAGCCATAGTGCTGTCTACTCTCCTGTATGGATCCGAATCATGGGTCATCTACTGCCACCACCTGCGTCTCCTCGAACGCTTCCATCAACGCTGCCTCCGTACAATCCTAAACATCCACTGGTCAGATTATGTGACCAATACATCTGTTCTAGAGCAAGCAGCAGTCACAAGTATTGAGGCCATGTTACTGAGAGCACAGCTGCGATGGGCAGGGCACGTCCCCAGGATGAAGGACCACCGCCTCCCCAAGATCTTGCTTTATGGTGAACTTGCCACCGGCTGCCGCATGAGAGGAGCCCCGAAGAAAAGATACAAGGACTCCCTGAAACAACATCTCAGCCTTGGCCATATTGATCACCATAACTGGTCTACTCTGGCCTCCAACTGGGAGGCCTGGAGACACACCATCTATAACGCAGCTGTCTCCTTTGAGAACACACGCAGGATCACCCTCGAGGAAAAAAGGCAACGCAGAAAGAACCGTGTATTGCAGAATACACCATCTAAGGAGTCTTTCTGCTGTGCCTTTTGCAATCGGATATGTCTGTCTCGTATTGGCCTCATAAGCCACCAGCGTGCCTGTAGCAAATGTGGATAGAGCCTTCCCAAATCTTCATTCGCGAAGCCTAGCCATGGTGACATAATTAGGTAAAAACTACATGCAGGGACAAAAAGTGTGCATTGTAGACTCTATGCCAGCCAAGCAAACAGGTAAGCTTTAGGAAAGCGACAGAATCACATAATCCGTCAGATTAGGAGGAACCACAGAGGGTCATCTGGTCCCAACTCCAGTGGGGTCATCGTAGAACACGTTGCACAGGATTGCGTCCAGACGGTTTCTGATTATCTCCAATGAGGGAGACTCCACAGCCTCTCTGGTCAACCTGTTCCAGTGCTCGGTCACCCACAGTTGTTCCTCATATTCATTTTGGTACTCCCGAAAAGAGCCCGGATCCATCCCCCTGGCACCCTCTCTTCAGACACTGATGAGCTGAAATGCGTCGTATACCCAAACACAACGCGACCAACTACGGGAAGATACTCAGGGAGCAGAGAGGAAAGTAACTGCGGCCGCTGGACAAAGGCAGGAAGGCAGCAATTCACTTTAGGAAGGAGAACATACGAAGGACGGAAATAACACCGCAAAAGCGATGACAAAAAAAAAGCAGAAGGGAGGCAGGGAGCCCCCGTTCCACCCGAGCGGCGGGGAGGGACAAGGTGGTCGGTCTCCCCTCACGGGCGAAGGGCGAACACCGCCCCTTCTCAGGCGGGAAAAGCCAGCGCGCCCCTTCTCAGGCGGGAAAAGCCAGCGCGCCCCTTCTCAGGCGGGAAAAGCCAGCGCGCCCCCTCCACGGCCGCCCCACGCCCCAGCGGCCGCGATCTCATCCCGGCCCCGCGGGATGCCCCTGAGCGGCAGGACCCCCTCGTTATCCCGGGATCCCGCTGGGAATCCCCGCCGCCCGCTCCCAACCGTTACTACCATGCCGCCTTCGCGCGCGCCGTTCCTCAGCCGCTGAGTCATTGGCGGAGCGCCCGGCGCGCGGCAGTGACGTACCATGATGGCGGCCGCCGAGCCCGAGCGCAAGCGAAAGGCTCCGGAGGCGGCGGCGGGCGAGGAGCGGGGAGCCGCGGAACTGGGGGAGTACGAGGACGAGGAGGAGCGCTGGGTCGGGCCGCTCCCAGGGGAGGCCGCGCAGGCGAAGAAAAGGCGAGGTAACGGAGGAGCGGAACGTCCACCGGCCGGACCCTGCGTTGGGGAGCGCTGCCCCGGGCCGGGTTCGGAGCGGGGGAGCGGCCCCGGGGGAGGGCGGCTGGGCCCGTGTGTTCTGTAGCGGTGTCTGCCTTGCAAAATGGCCACGCTGTGTGGGAACCCTTCGGGTGCGGAGTAACAGCCCAGGGGCATCAGGGGCTGAGAAAATTGGGGCTGTTCAGCCTGGAGATGAGGAAGTTCGCGGAGAACTCAGCAACCTTTCAGTGTCTGGACGGGGCTACAGGGAAAACGGAGAGGGACTCTTCGTCAAGAACTGTAGTGACAGGACAGGGAGTAATGGGTTCAAATTGAAAAGGGGAAAGTTTAGGTTAAATATTAGGAAGAAATTCTTCGTTGTGAGGGTACTGAGATACTGGAACAGGTTGTCCAGGAGGGTTGTGGATGCCCCAACCCTGACAGTGTTCAAGTCCAGGTTGGAAAAGGCCTTGAGCAACCTGGTCTATTGGGAGGTATCCCTGCCTATGGTGGGGGGGGTTGGGACAAGATGATCTTTAAGGTTCCTTCCAACCCCTTAACATTCTATGATTTATGATTTCTGCTTTCTCTCGTGGACACTATCAGGCTCAGAGCCCCTGCTGTGCAGACTGAAGCCTTGCTGTTTAGGGCTGTGGAGTTCGTCTGTTTTCTGGATCATCGCCCTAAAATGGAGATGCCTCTAGGCTGTATTTTGAGGCATGGTATTGATGACTGCAGCAACTCTCAGCTTTCCAGGTGTCATTGTAAAGTAAATGTGCCTCTAACGATGATCAGCACGTGCAGGTTCAGTAACAAATGCCATTTGCAGGTGTTAACAGGGTGTAAAAATCAAGAGACAAATGCCAAAATCAGATTATTTTGGGTGAGCCAGTTAAACAATGAAAGAGATAGGTGTCAGTACTTGGACTTTAAACTACAAGACCTGGGTGAGATCGTGAATCTCTTAACAACAGGGATACATTTTGTTTTGGAATAAAATAAGGTGGAGAGAACCCTCCGTTTTCTGGAAGTAAATTGTTGATTTTTATTTTTTTCATATATTGAGACAGCTGAGGTAATAGTTGCTTTAAAAGGGAAAAGCAGTATGAGTTCAAGCAAAGTTTGAGTGGTTTTAGTCCACTAAAAATTTGAGTGCAAAGCCACACCTAAAAGCCCTTTTATTATGTTTGCAAAAAATCCTAGCATATTTTAGACTGAAATATGAATAAGCAATTCAAGTAAGGGAGAACAGAAGCTGTACCTTTATGAAAAAAACCTTCCTGATTTTTCTTTTTGTTCTGTGTAGTTCTTGAATTTGAACACGTTTACCTTGAAAATCTACCATCTGCTTCAATGTATGAACGCAGTTACATGCACAGAGATGTCATTACACACGTAGCATGTACTAAGTAAGTATCTTTTTTTTCCAGGCTATTTCTTTGTCAGGGGTGTATTTTTATATATGATAAGAAGTTTTCATTTTAAATGTTTAGTAATGGAAAGTTACAGTGTCCTGTAACTTTTAAAAGTTTTGGGGTTTTTTTTTTTTTGAAAACT